TGAGTCAGTACTGCTGAGTAGTCTGAAAGGGCAGTCGTGGAGACCACGCCATCACAGTTTGGGATGAGCGTGTGAGATCCTCTGCTCTACGGCTTCACTCTGGCGTGCTCCTCCGGGTACTTGGTGGCCCCAGAAATGCAGAGAAGCTGGGATTTGTCTGGTGGAGATGAACATACCATGGAGCATCTTCTGGAGCTCAGCTATGAGAGGCTGGAGTTTTTGGCTATGAATAAAACAATTTAGGTGTTTTAATACAAAGAACCTGCCTTTAAAAGGTTTGGATCATGGGGTAAAAATTAAATTTAGTTGGTATAACTTTAGAAGCTCGAGACAAAGACCACAGACAGGTGTCAGTGGAGTGAAAACAAACCTAGTAGTTCAGCAGATTTTTGTTCAATTTAATGAATCATTAAAAGCTACCTCTGCCCAAACAGAACATTACGCCCAGAAGAGCAATGAGCTAGCTACCTGTCTCTGTATCCACTCAAGAATGTCTGAAACTCTACTTCACTGATGTCACACAGATCTCAATGAATTTTATAAAATTAGGTGATCCCTAAAGACCCTTTCACTTCCTAAATGAAGGTTTATTTGGTGCTATGGGGCCCAAAATGAAGCCAAGGAACAGGTCTAAATGGCAGGTCTTTAATCTGGTTTTTGTGGTTCAATTTCTCTGTTTTCCTCATCTTGCCTTTGGCTGGAACCCGGAAACATTAACTTGAGGTCTTCAGCCTTCATGCTGCCACTGAAAAGCTCTGATTGCAAACCAAGGCTAATAAATGAGAGGAGACAAAGAACAAATTTGTTTTCTGATACTTTACTTCTGAGACTATGCAGTTTACTCAATGCTTCTTGAATAAATTCTGAGTGAAGAACTTGCAAGAACACTACCAGAGAAATAAGAAGGGGAAATGAAGAGTAAGTGAGTGGGGGAAAGAGATAAAATGAACCTCTTCCGTCATCCTTAGAAATGTCAGCCTAGTGAGAAAAACAGTTGTCCCAAAGCTCTTGAGGAGTACTACCAGAGAAATAAGAAGGGGAAATGAAGAGTAAGTGAGTGGGGGAAAGAGATAAAATGAACTTCTTCTGTCATCCTTAGAAATGTCAGCCTAGTGAGAAAACAGTTGTCCCAAAGCTCTTGAGGAGAGAAAGATGAGAGAGAGAGAGAGAGAGAGAGAGAGAGAGAGAGAGAGAGAAAGGAAGGGAGAGAGAGAAAGGAAGGGAGAGAGAGAAAGGAAGGGAGAGAGAGAAAGAAAAAATTAAACAAAAGAAACCATCAAAAAGTTCTTCCTGTTCAGCATATATTCGTGGTGGAAATACTAGATCTTCCATGAGGCCATGTCCTTCAAAGATTATTTCAAGATTCTCCTTCTGTTCAAGCTGATCATCCTTTATCCTTTTCATAAAAGAATGGAGAAGTAAAGTTTCTTGGTGATAGTGGAATTTGGGAGTGTGATCTATTAGAGTTAATTACAAGCATTTTGCAAAGGGTAGGATCAGAGGATGAAGAAAGAGTAAATGACAGACTTGAATGAGTAATATACTATTTAGAGTGACATTTGGAATTAGCCAAATGAAATTGTACATATCATTGATATAAACAAAGCTAACAGGCTTGGGTCAATTTTGACAAAGTATGAGCTTAGTAGGTTCCATGAATATGACTCAGACTTACAAGTAATTGATTTACAGAGGGAGGAAGGGAAGAATTTATTTTTTATATTTTTGGTTGAACATCTTTTTATCAGTGCATACTGATAATACAGCTTAGTGGGTCTTAGTTTTGGCAGATTCATGCATGTACATAACATACTTTGTTTGTCTCCTCCATAATCATTTGGCCTCACCTTCCCCCAGTTTCACATGGGGGTGATAATGATTTGATCATATCCACCCCCTAGTACCCATACTTTCTATGGGTTAACTTGAGGTCTTTTTACAGATATATCACTCACTGCACACCACTCTGTGAATCAAAGTGAAGAACTACTAAGAAAAGAAACAGCTTTGAGGTGATGGAGATGGAACTATGAAATAGAAAAATAAGTCAGGATATACCTTTGGAAATAGTTTTGTAATCTTTATTAAAACCTTACAGGGCTGACTCCTAGGGGCACAACCCAAGAAAACAAAGAGAGTCAGAAATACAGATATATCACTCACTGCACACCACTCTGTGAATCAAAGTGAAGAACTACTAAGAAAAGAAACAGCTTTGAGGTGATGGAGATGGAACTATGAAATAGAAAAATAAGTCAGGATATACCTTTGGAAATAGTTTTGTAATCTTTATTAAAACCTTACAGGGCTGACTCCTAGGGGCACAACCCAAGAAAACAAAGAAAGAGTCAGAAAAAAAAAGTAAACTAAGGAGCAAATTGAACCTTTTGAGCAGCAGGAAGCAAGAGTCAGAGTTTCAAGTGGAAGAAAAAGGGAGAACCTCGATGTTAGAAAAACATCCTTAGGATGTAGGAAGGTTAATCATAGAAAAGCAAAAAACATGTTTTAAAAGTCTGATAATACATGCACTGATGAACCTGGTAGTGACAAAAGGGAACTGGCATATTCATATTGTCATGGCTTTGGGCCTAAAGAAGCTACTTAGAATTGTATTTCTTCCACAATTGAACACTAACAGTCAAACTGTAGAAAAGATAAAATGCCACATAATCTTTCCTGGGTGAAAGATGAACTGTTTACATTACTTTTCCTGCTTTCTTCATAGTATTATGAATTGCCAAAAAAATGCTTAAAATTCATTCTGAATTTGCCAAATTCTTTACTAATATTCTCTATTAATAGCAAGAGAAAAGGAATTGAGAGATTTTCTGAACCTCTTGTACATAGCAGGTGGGAGAGGCCTGGCTGGCAGACTTGCCTGGGGAAGCAGAAGACAAGAGGAGTGAAGAGAGGAGCCCCAGCAGGAATGTGGGTCCCACACACTCACTGACAGCAGCCAACGTTGGTTCGAGGGCCTCCTGATGAGGAGGGGATGAGAGGAGCCCGCTGACTGGAAGTGCACTTGGACAGTAAGAAAGCCAGCACTGCACATAAATTCACTATTTGAACTTCTCAAAAAAGGTACATTTCTGCAAGTGTGAAGATATCAAACAGTTCTGGGTCAAGAGTTTCATTACCACTTCCTTCTTGGGCACAATGCCCTCAGCTCAAAGCTATTTCTCCTCTGACAGATTCTATTCTTTAAACTATTTACTATTTACTATAGGTAAAGTCTATTCTCTTTTGTGTGAGATTGGTGGAAAAGGTACATTTTCATGGAATTATTTATGAGCCCTGGAGGAGTCCTATAAATTAATCTATCCAGCCTTCCAAGCAAAGTGGGACTGGCATTAAAACAGAACAAGATAGGGACTTAAGGTCCTGGATCTCAAGATATCTGTTTCCCTCATTAGTAAAGTAACAATACAGTAAAACTTGTTTAACCAGATGAGGTGTGCTTAAATGAGATAAAAACCTAAAACATTTGAGCACAGTGCCCAGCAAATATTAGGGTTCCAAAAATAATTGTGGAATTTTCTATCACATTGATGATCTTGATGGAGAAGACATAGCCTAGTCCTTAAACACTTGATGAAAAATAATTTCTAAACCCACAAAATAATACCTTAAGAGAGACTTCTGACCCAGTAGACAGATTTAGATAAAATAAACTATATGAGCTGAAAGACCCCGAACTTAAAGAGCTTACATCTTCGGTCAAGCTGCAACATTATTGGGCTGGCCTTCACAAGTCAGGAGGAAGTGCGCCTGAGAATCGGTACCTTAAGGTACACTGAGGTGCAGCCTCTCTTCCCGTACAGTTCTTTATGTCGGGGTCACTCAGCCCTTCCCTACCTTCTCATGATAATTTGGCATAACTCTATCACTGCTCAATCATGTCTTTGTATTCCCCAGAGTGGTTATAGTTTATTTCCTTGAGCATAAGGACAGTTTTATCCTCTATTTTATGACCTTAGTAACTGTTAGAATGCAGGGTAAGAAACTTAGAATAAAAAAAGAATAATGGTAGCATGGAATTATGGTCTGTAAGGAAGAAAATGTATATCCAAATTCTTGCAAGCAAGATGAAAAAGCAACATGGAAAGGAGTTTGGAAGGAAAGGTGGGCTCCCTTAACCCCACTCTATTGCAGTCAAAAGATAAACTTTCAACTTGTTTAATGACCCTCACTGCTTCCTCCCTTATATCTATGTGGAATTTCTCATTCTGCTTTTGAAGATTATTGTTATTAGCACATAGTTGCAATACATAATGAGTACATAGAATGTCTTCTTTTCTCATCCCCTAACCCTTCAATCCCTCCCTGCTCCTTTGATATTTGTTTCTTCTAGATGTTAGGAAACCTACAAATATGAAGATCTGTCTAAGAAATAAAAGGAAAAGTAATTATGTAGTAGGGTCTACTTTTATCCAATAAAAATGAATTTTTAGATAAAATGGAGATTACCTTTAAGTATATGATAAATAAAAATCCCTACAGCAAAGCCAGTAAAACTAAAGGGTCAGAATAGGGATGACGTAAAGATTTGGGACATTTATTTGAGTCTCTTCTTTGTGACAAGTTCTGCTAGTTACTTGGTCATACTCTAATAATTCAATGACAGATACAGTAGCCATATAGTAATTTAAAAGAAAACAAAGAGGAAGTAACTTGTAGGTGCAAATTTAGTCTCATCGGTCACACAAAAGGAGTCTCCTAAGTAGTTTTCTCCTCTTTGGTTTCTATAAAGCTATAACAATTTTACTGAAACAAAGCACTGGATAAGTAAAATGCATGGATAAATCATCTCAATGTTCTACACTGTCTACAGTGATCAAAGTATTTAAGTAGCATGAAACCGTTACTTGGCCTAGATAACAAGGAACAAGTTATGCTTTAGTAAAGCAAGTTATTCTAGCATTGCACATCTGGAGTATGTAGCTAATTTCTTATCCTAACTTTACAGATTGTTACAACAGTAGAAAACAGATGGCAAAAACATGACAGTACATCAAAATGACACCAGCTCCACTGGGCTTTCAGGCTTCCTCCTGAATTGTTTTGTCAGGGTCCCTAACTGGCAACTCTGGCTGTCCCTGCCCTTCAGCTTCCTCTTCCTCCTGGCCATGGGGGCCAATGCTGTTCTTCTGGTCACCATCAGGATGGAGGCTGCTCTGCACGAGCCCATGTACTACCTGCTCAGCCTCCTCTCCCTGCTAGACATTGTGCTCTGCCTCACCGTCATCCCCAAGGTCCTGGCCATCTTCTGGTTTGACAGCAAATCTATCAGCTTCTCTGCCTGCTTCCTTCAGATGTTCATCATGAATAGCTTCTTAGCCATGGAGTCCTGCACCTTCATGGTCATGGCCTTTGATCGCTATGTGGCCATCTGCCACCCGCTGAGATATCCATCCATCATCAACGACCAATTTGTAATCAAGGCTGCCATTTTCGTTTTGGCCAGAAATGTCTTTTTGCCTATGCCCATCCCTATCCTCTCGGCGCGACTTCATTACTGCGGGGAAAATGTCATTGAGAACTTCATCTGTGCCAATATGTCTGTCTCCAGGCTCTCTTGTGATGACGTCACTGTTAATCGCCTTTACCAGTTTGCTGGAGGCTGGACTCTGCTGGGCTCGGACCTCATCCTCATCTTCCTCTCTTACACCCTCATCCTGAGAGCTGTGCTGAGACTCAAGACAGAGGGCGCTGTGGCCAAAGCCCTAAGTACATGCGGCTCCCACTTCCTCCTTATTCTCTTCTTCAGCACCATCCTCCTGGTCTTTGTCCTCACACATGTGGCTAGGAGAAAAGTCTCCCCCGATGTGCCAGTCTTGCTCAATGTCCTCCACCATGTCATCCCCGCGGCCCTGAACCCCATAGTTTATGGGGTGAGAACCCAGGAGATCAAGCAAGGGATCCAGAGGTTGCTGAAGAAAGGGAGATCCTAAGGGCCCCTGCATCTCTGCAGTCCTAACACAGAGTCACTTGTTGTTCAGTTAATTGGCAATTGGGCTGAGACAAAACTTCAAGGCGAAAAGTGAGTGCTGATTCTGAAATACGTTCCAGATTCTATCCTTCCTCTTCAAATTCCAACACCCTCTGAAAAAACATCTGAATTCTCTGTGACTGTTTTATTTTTTCCAAGATTTATTATTCTATTTTGTCTAAAATATAATCACGCAAGAGAATGAATTATGTACAGGAAAAATAACCTTCAATAATGATACCGAACTTACCATGCCTGCATATTTAAAGTTTGAAGATATAATTTTGGAAACTAGTGGCTTTGATTATATCTTATTATTACAAATATCACTATTTTTACTAACTCAATTACATAATGCAGTTATGAAAAGAACACACTTACCTAGGATGGTAAAGTGGCTAGTGCCTATAAGTAATTTTCATATATCAGTTCTATATCAGTTCTAGTAAGTCAGAGCTGCTTGTAAGTACCAAGTCTACTTGTAATTTTTTTAAATATAAGAGGAGAAAGTCTGGTTTGCTCTCAAAAATGTGCCCAATTTCCACATGAAAAACAAGTAATACCTAAGCATAGGAGCTATATCTTGCTCAAAAAATGTGATAAGCTTTGAGGTTTTTTTTTCTAATCATTAATGTAAAAACTTAGGAAAATGAATAGGAAAAACAAGTTAATTGGAGGAAAAAAGTTTACTCTTCTAAAAGGATGGCCACAATAAAATAAATTCATCTAAAGTGTGCATTCTCTCATTCATTTACACTGTGCCACAAAGGGAAGGAAACCAGTGGGTTGCAGTGATAATTCTTCTTACATTAAAAAATGAAGAGCAGTGTATTTCATGCTTCATATTATTTCACTTAGCATTATGGTCTCAAGGTGCATCCATTTTCCTGAAAATGACTCAGGTCTACCTTTTTTATGTCAGAGTAATGCTCCACTGTGTGTGAATAACAGAAGACATTTTTATATCTGTATGTTTGTCAAACAAGCCCAAAGATCCTCATCGACTTTGCAGAAGTAAGCAAAATGTACACACTTCTCATAAGGAATGTAAACATTACATATTGCAAATATGTACTCATAAAAATTTTTAAATCAAATCAATTTTATAAGGAAATGAAAGTGAGCCATATTGAAATCCAGGAAAATGTTATTTCTAATTACTTTAATTAGTGAATGATAAAAAATATTAGCACTAAGGTAACCAATGGTTGTTTGTATTAACAGATAAAAATGAAACAATTTTATCATATATTTTATGTTTTAAATTTAAATCTTGCCTTCAACAGATTTTCACATTTTATACAACAATATTTCAAGCCGGCTGCTTTTAATTTTAAAAAAACTTACAGAAGACACAATATATGAAATACTTTATACCTAATTTTAAATAAAACACAGAAATAATAAATCTGACCTTTTGAATAATTCTTCAGTGAAGGATTTTTTTCAGTAACTTGCTTTAAAATTGTATCTCCTATTTTGAATATAGTAACTACATTGCCCTGTTAAATTATGCTAATGTTTTAACCTTATAAAATGGCCAATTGAGATACATCTCTTAAAATTAGCATATGACTTTTCATCAATAAACAGTTCTTTCTTCTGGATTAAGGCTTTATAATCCAGATGACACACACCTGGACCAAAATTTGAGAGAAGCAAAAGTCATTTATTAAGTAATCGAAAAAGCACCTGCTGGAGGATTGCTGGGAGTCCTAGACCAGCCTGGGCTACATAGTGAGTTCCAGGTCAGACTCAACTACATAGTGAGACCCTGTCTCAAAAAACCAAAAGAAAAAAAATAATAATAATAATTAAAGAAAGAAAGAAAGAAAAGAAAAAGCACCTGCTTTATGTCAGATGCAATGCCAGACCTTGAGAAGAATTCAGCACTGTCTCAGTGAGCTCAGTCTGCTGCTAGAAAACACTTGTGGATTCATAATTTCCAACATTTAAAAACTTTTCCTGAAGAAAGGATGGAAATATGTGGGTAGTAAGGGATCCCCAGGTCAAACGCCTAGATGGGTTTTAAATATCATTTATTTAAATGTTTACATTGAGCTAGGTAAGGACGCATGAGAAGAACCACATGAACAGTTGCTTATTTTTACTTCTTTACTTGGACATTTGCCAGACATTGCAAATGTACAGTCACAGGGAGCACATCCTTATGGAAATGACGTTCAGTCACCAAAATTGACCTTCTGGTGCTCCAGGTCGAACTAGCTCCTACATTAATGACAATTAATTTAGTGACAATTCAACTGCTCTTTTTTATTGAAAAGGAAAAAAGAATATTTTTGGGCTTAACCATCACCAAAATGCACTCTTCTGTTTTCATCAGCTGAAGTCACTGAGCCGTTTAGCCGGTGACATCCGGAATGATCCCATTCATTACCTAGTGCCGCAGGTTGTTCTGGGCAACTGGCATTGTAGATGATTTGCACAATGATGTCACTACTGAGCCATTACTTAAATCCAGCCCCCAGCCTTCCTTTTCTGCTCTGTAGCGCAGAAACATAATCACTTTTAACCTGGATTACTGAAAGAAAGTTGTGATGATTAATCCTTGATTGCCAATTTGATTGTCTTGAGTGACATTAGTAAGGATTAGCAAGGCACAGTTCTAAGCATGTCTGGGTGGGTCCCGGAGTCATGACCCTGGGGCACCTGGCCCTCTTCTCTCATTACTCTTCCCCTGGGCTTATTTGGGCAAATCCTCACTGGAAAGCTTTGGTACAGAAGCACTGGCACGTACACAGTTCTCCCAACACTGTTGGTAGAGTAGTAAAGCTTATATCCAGGAGTGGAGTGGGACATATGTCTAGAAGATTGCAGAAGACAGTGAAGATGGCAAACTTTTCAGAAGTGATGGATGGGTAATGCAGTGGGTGGTACATGGCCAGTAGACGTAGGCCTTGATGGAGAGGTGGAGGGTTACATAAGAAGGAAGGTATTTATGATGAAAAGATGAACATCTTTTCAACAGGAAGCAGCCTACAAAGCCGATGGATTTCAAAGCTGAAGATAGGCAGGCCCTGACAGAATCATTGTTCTCAAAACTCTATACATCCATCACCATCTTAGCCTTAAGGAAACCCTCAGATGGGTGATTAAAACTATCCATGTCCCCAAACCACAGCCCTATAATTCCAGCAGGGATAGCAGCATTCTTTCCAATACCTTCGTTGTCCATTTTGAACTCCAGAGTCTAATGTATAACTTGCACAAAATCTAGAGACCAACCTTTGCTTTTAAAACTTGGATTGCTGCTCTCTCTTGAGCCCCTATGCTTCTCCAAATTCCAGTGGGTACATCAGTCCATCGCAAGATATATGCATCACAGGAATATCAAACCCAGTAATCCAAAGTTTATATATGGCTACACTCCTATCCTTTCACATATGTAATGAAATACTAGCTACTCATTGGACACAGGACTAATACATGGAGTCTATAAAGAACTCAAAAACATTAGATCCCCCCAAATAGAAGACCCAATCAAAAATAGAACAACTAAAACGAACAGACACTTCTCCGAGTAGCCAATAAATACATGAAAAAAATGTTCAATATCCCTGGCCATTAGAAAAATGCAAATTAAAACAACACTAAGATTTCATCTTACTCCAGAAAGAATGGCAGTAAACAAGAAATCAAATACTAACACCACACTGGAGAGGCTGTGCTGAAAAAGGGATACTTACATTGTTGATAGGAATGAAATCTAATGGAATTACTATGGAAATCAGTATGCAGTTTCCTCAAAAAACAAAACTAGGCATTTCACTTGACCAAAGTATTCCTCTTTTAATTATCTTCCTGAAAGAGGTAAAGACTTATTACAATGATCCGTTTGCACCCATGTTTATAACACCACATTTCAAAATAGCCAAGTTTTAGGTTAGCCTATATGTCCATCAATAGATGAGTGAATAAAGAAAGTATAGTATTTATATACGTGAAGTACTACTCTGCTATAAAGAAGAATAAATTTAGGGCCAGGATTTAGCTCAGTGGTTCCACCACCTGCCTTGAAAGTGCAAGGTCCTGAGTTTGATCCCCAGTATCCCCCACAAAAAGGAAGAAGAAATTTATGTTATTTGTAAGAAAATATATGCACCTCAAATTCATAATGTTAAATGAAATAAAATAGACTCACAAGTTTAAATATTGTATAGTTTCTTTATAGGAGAAATCCAAAATATAAATAAATTAAAGACTACAAAATAAGTAGATAAGAGGTAACAGGAAGAGAGATGAGAAAGGAATCAAAAGATAGTGGAGGTCAGCCGGGTGTGGTGGCGCATGCCTGTAATCCAAGCACTCAGGAGGCTGAGGCAGGAGGATCTCTGTGAGTTCTAGACCAGCCTGGGCTACATAGTGAGTTCCAGGTCAGTCTCAACTACATAGTGAGACCCTGTCTGAAAATAAAAAGAGAGAGAGATAGTGGAGGTAAGGGAAAGATATTTAGAAAGGAATAAGATGTCATGTAGATGTGTCAACTACCCAGGATGAATTCATTTAACATGTACAAATGAACCAATACATTCAAAAGCAACATTTTATACATAAGTACTCAGAATACTCAAAGACAAAATAGAAAAAGACATGGCACAAAAATGAATTAGAAAATGTAATATCACAGATTTCGTTAAATAAGGCAAAATTGACTAAAACAAAAGAAATAAATACAAAAGAAGTAAATACTGAGAGATCAAGATACCTCTCCTGAAAGACGATAGAACATAATGATGAAAAGAAGATTCATATAGTATAAAAGGTCAGAACAATGTAATTTACAAACTTAACCCAACTGACATGTACAGAACATCGCACCCAATAGTAACAAATTTAATCTTATTTTTTGTACCAGGGATTGAACTCAGGTCCTTGCACTTGAAAGGCAGGCAGCAGAACTGCTGAGCTAAATCCCCGGCCCCTAATCTTTTTACAAATAGA